TCAAGGTATGTAGAAAAAACATGTAAAGCTGTGTCTATGGCCGAATCACCGATTCTATGAATCGGCATTGAATCTTCAGATTATGATTTGGCCAAATTGATTCGGGACAGCGATCGGAATCAATGAATCAAATCACTGTCCCTGATTCGGGCCGAATCCGAATCGAATGCGGCCCATTTCGCACACCCCTAAGAGAAAGCAGGTTGGACCATTTTGTATGATCACTTTTAAAGCAGAATTGTCTGTTGAAATCAGTGAGGAGTTCTGAATAATAATTAATGGAAGGTAACAGGACAATATGGGCTCTTGTCTTCAAGGGCTCAACTCTGCAAGGTGCTGAGTTTTTTTTAATCTAAATTCTGTGAGATGTTCAGGAGCTGGCAGGACTGAGCCTCAGGGCCTGCTGCGAAGTTCCAAGCATAAGAAATGAGGCATTGAAAAGAAATGAGACAAAAAAAATGGTTGGGACAAAAGAACAGTCCAGATGGAGACTGTAGGCCACAGGAAGTGAGTGGTGCTACAGGAAGGAGTAGTTATGAAGAACTAAGGATTAATAAAATGTAATGGCCCAAGAATATCCAAATTCTCTTCTGGTTAGATAGGCAAAACTCAGTTGAAGCCCATGGAGCTGTGGGCATTTGTATCAAGGGAAAAATTATTCTAATATCCTTTCTATATTGTATACTCATGTCTATGTGTTTTTTACAGGCTGATTTGTTAGATGTTTTTATGCTTCCTTTTTCATTTCTTCCCTACCACCTTCTTTTTTTATAATGAAGTCTTAAACAGAAAAAAGAGAACCATGTCAGTACCCCTTTATTAGAGGAATGCACTTATGTTCTAATACTCAGACAAAAACAAATCTGGAATTTTTCTCAGTCACACAGTTAGAAGACAAAGTATCAAAAGAGGAGAAACCAGGCAGATGCCAAGTTTACCGCGTACCTCTGAGAACATGGTTCGAGAAGAACACTTCTCAAGTAGAAGGGTAAATGTGCTTTCTCTTCTACTCACAGTGCTCTTGGGAGATGAACTGTTAACCTGTGGTTGCTTTCCATTTCTATTTTCATTTTCCATTTCTATTTTCATTTTCCATTGCTGTACTTAATTTTCTTCTACTAGATGCAGATACCTTATTCTAGAGATTTGTCTGACTCTCAGCTTGTTTGGAAGGCTTTATTCTGATCCATTTTGTGTTCTGCCCTCTTATCCTTCAGCCCCAGCCTAGAATAAGCTCCTTCCAATGCTTCACTGAATAGCTTCCTCTCTAGTCTTCATATGAGTGTGTGTGGCCGGTTTTTTCCATGTGAACATTCAAGAGCTGGTACTCTCACGGAGATGTTAGCAAAGGGAACTGCGATCAGCTCATCACCCAGTCCCACACCCCCAGTTACCATGAAATCCCCAGTACCATGGCCCCAGTTGCATGAAATCCCTTTGTATAAGTAGCCTCTTCTGAAGCTGAATATTCTAGAAAGCTAACAGAATAGCTTAGGTCAGAATGGGAAGAGATTGCTTTGACCCCTGCATATTCCATGAATGAATGAGAAAATGGATGGGAATGAGTTGTGCAGTTGCAAAAACTAGTTAGCAGCTGCAAAAGAAGAAGTGACAGCCTCTTGAGCAGCATTTTGAAACCTGACTTCCAAAGAAATGAATGCTGAAAAACAATAAATTGAGACCATCATGGTTTAAATAATAACTTTACATAAAATGTGTCTGGAAGTTTGGCATCTGTTAAACTCAGGCCAAATTAATTCCTTTCAAGAGATCAGCTTCTAAAACTTGAATAGTGGAAGTAGTATCGTACTCAAATGAGTGGACAGAAAGGAGATTATAACCAGGTTGTTTTGAAGGATATTTTGAGACAGTGTTTTAAGTGCTATTTTTAAATCGTTTATTTTCTATTCAAGCTAAATCTTGTTTCTTCGTGATTTCCTGCGGCCAAAGAATTAGTTTTTCACTGACATTCCTCCCTCTAAAACTTTCATCCTTGCATTGCAGAAACAACTAGAGGACTATTTGACAAAAATCTTAAAAATGCCTATGTACAGAAACTACCATGGAACGGTAAGTACTATATATTATACTTTAAACAGCAAAGGGATGTTCTCTTCACTTAGAAATACTTAATAGAATAAGAGAGATCCTCCAGCTTTCTTCCAGATATGCAAGAAGCATTTTGCATCCTTTTTTTTTTTTTACTAGATTATATGTCGTTCCCCAGAGTGAATGTAAAATTGATTCAAACCAAAGCGTTCAATCCTCAAGCCATGTGAAGGTTGCAGCTGCAACACAATATGACAACCTGTTGGGGAAGGTTGATATTGTGCAGAAAACTTCTTATCTAAGTGATATGGTGGACTTCTGATAGATTCTAGCAAGCATTCAAGATGTTTGGTTAGAAGTTTAAAGACCTAAATAATTAGGGGTTGAGCTGTATAAGTGACTTCTTTAATTTTGGAACATAGAAGAATTTGGCTAACTCTTTTTACTAAGTATTTTCTCCCATCCAGAAAGAAACAGTATTTTTTTGTTTCTAGTCAGAAGTCTTAATGAAATTGCTTGGTTCATGTTGCTTCAGTGGTGGGTCCTGTTAAAATCAGTATGTGCCTCCTGAAACCTAATTTGTGGACTGGAGTTACTTATTGTTGGCTGGCCGTATTCTTCACCTGCCTCACCTGAGGCTCTGGAACAGTGGTCCCAATCTTCATTCTACCGTAGGCCTCAATACTGAGCAAGGAATACACAGTGGGCAAGAGCATACTTCATTCTCCCGTCATTCAACCTGAGGAAAAATGTATCTTAGGAAAGAAAAATTTCCTGTTGCCATGAGCAGCGTTGCAAAATCCTGCAGGCCACATTTCCCGTGAGCTCTTAAAGAAGATGTAACTGCACATGAATACCACTTCATTGTTATGTCATTAACCTATTTCCTCTTCTTCTGAGCTCACATAAAGAATTTATTACTACTTTTTATATCGTCGGCAAAAAAAATAGTGCATCTTGGGTTGGTTAGTTGCAGAACTTAATGAAAAGGCCCAGATCCTCCTAAGCAAGACAGAACAATTGGAAAACTTAGTTTCAAAATGAGTCAGAAACCTAGATTAAACTTTAGATATCTAAGGGAATATAACTTCTCTTTTTTTGCTTGGTTGGAGAGAGTCTGTTATTTTTGTTGTTCAGGGTTTTTCCCATTGCTTTCTGTTAGGCAATTTTTATGTACAAATGCTATCTACACTCTTATATTAAGTCTGCTCATACTGAATTTGCCAGTTATGAGGGGCAAAGCACCTTTTCAGTGCTGGTCACTGTCCTTATTGTTACAATGGAAAGTCTAAACATAATATTTGTAGAATGGCTCTGCTGAGAATCAGCAGCATAGGGGCTGCTGTGTAACACACGGATACAATATAATATAGTGATGGATGTGGTGCCCAAGGAGGCTGGGGATAGCCACCCTGCCCCCCGACCCCCTCATGGTCCATCCCACTTGTGAAGACTTACCTGGTCCACTCTTACCTCCAGTCTTTTCCTGCCACGACTTTGGAGTTTCTCTGTTGGTTGTTGGGAGGCAGTCCCTGGGGCCGGCCATAACCTTGCAGGTCCTGGTTTGCCTGGTCAGGCTAGTCCCACCTCGGGGGCCTTTGCTCTCTTTCTGGTACTGCCCCTGTAAGGGGGTGCTCATGTAGGACTCCAAACACTTGTCAGGGTTTCATCTATCACAGCATTGGCTCGTTTTTCTCTCCAACCATACCCTTCACCGTGGCCCACTGTTCAAGACCTCAGCCTTCAGGAGTAAGCCATGCCCTGATGCACCCCCCCACCCCTTTCCTAGGGTCTACTTGATAATCTCCACTCCTCTGTCTTGGGGTTGACTTCTGGTACCTATTGCAGCAGAGTGCATTCAGGCATCCCTGCCCGTGGCCTCCTCCACACCTATAGCCACAACCCGGTCCTCTAGTCACAAGCCCAAAATGAAAAAACAAAACTCAAACCAACTGCTTCACAACAGATAGTCTTCCTCACTTGGGATGAAGTGTTGCCCACAGGCCCTACCTTTCATCAGAGCCCTCTTACCTGTGACTCCCCCAGGGCAGCTTGTTTCTGTCCCCAGCAGCTCCTTTCTCCCAGGTTCCTCTCCCAGCAGCAAGCTGGGGTTGCCCCTGCCTGCCCAGGGACTGGGCTTCTGTTCCCCAGCCCAGCCTCCTTCCAGTCACTGGATTGGCCCTTTTGCCCCTCTCCTGTAGGGCCAGATGTAGCTAATTGACTCATTAGCTGCATGGCCCCTGGTTCTTTACCTAATCAAGCCCTCCTAGTAACAAGGGCAGGAATTCCCTGTTACAGTGTGGAACATAATCATCTTTTGTTCTTAAAGTAAGATTTTGCCAACTTGGCAATGGTTAATGCTGGCATATGTTGAGCAGAGGAGATTACATTTATAGTACGTGACATTGGATCTAGTTTGCCATTCTTAGGTAACAAGAATTGCCTGATTCAATGTCTCCACTAATATGAAAATGCTGAAGATTTCTTGATCAAATCCTGTTTGGAAAATGTCTGCTAGAGATAAAAAGGGGAAGCGTGCTCTGTTTGTTTCCTGGTCTCTGTCACTACAGACTGCAGGGGCCATAAACAGCTCTGCTTCTCTCCCGTCTTTGTACCCTGTAGCTCCACTCAGTTGCTGGCAAGCACAAGTGGATGTCTCAGATGTACATAAATTCTCAGATTATTGTTGGCTTTCAATGGTTAAGCTTCCACAAAGTTTGTTTTTGAGAATGGCAGCTTAGTTGAGATGTGGGCCAAAGCTTGTCCACCTGAGCTTGATCCACGACTCAAACCTACCTTTGACTAGCTCCCGATAGAGATGAAGCTATAATCCAGACTCTTCAGTGGTGGGCTTTCCCACAAATGTCCTGCCCCTATCTGTGGTAGGGGCTTGTCTCTGCCGGTCTAGGTGTTGTCAATCTCTGGAGCTCATCACTTGTTTGAGCTGCTTTTTTTCCTTTTCTTCCTTTCTGACTCTGTCTTCTACACCAAGACAACTTTAGCATCTCGGCTAACAAGCCGAAGTCCACCGCGACATTTTAATGACCCCTCCCACATGTCTGCAATCTCTCCTGCCACGACTTGTTGTTACGAGAGAAAATAGAATGCCGGGGTATGTGGGTCTTGATGCTTTGGCTCTTGCAGTTTGGCTTAGTGTAGTGAGGGCTCCACCAACCCCTACACCCTTGCCCGTTCCACTGGGTGGTAATTCAGTTGTCTCCACAATCTGCCTTTCAGCAGTAAAAAAAAAAAAAAATGCTCCTTGGATCTCTAGGTCTGGCCACTCAGTATCCCCAATGGACCCGGTTGTACCTCGCCCGGCTGGCACCTGGCACAGACCTGCCAGTAATCCTAGCCAGTCTTTTTCCTGGCTTATTGTCCTGATGCAGAACAATATTATTGTAAATGCACTATCCGGGGTGACTTTCCTCTTACCGTTCTAACTGCCTCGCGGCAGTTTGTTTCTTTCGGGGCGTTTCCCTCAGGGTTCTCTTCCCTGGCAACTCCCTCCATAGAGTTGCTTTCTTTAAGCCCGGTCTCCCTTGCTTCCTCAGTGCCTCCAGTTCTCCCTGCTGTCTTGCTGCCTGAGTCAGTCTCTTCCGGTTTCCTGTGTCCCTCTTTTGCCTGCCCCGTGTTTCCTTTTATCCTGGAGTTCCAGCTGACTCCCCCTCCCCTCCTGAAACACTGGGTGAAGAAGGAGCCCTGCGGAGTTCTTCGCAATACAGGTGTGGCCATTTTACTTCTTTGGGGCTCTTCTCTCTCCTCACACAGACCTTGCCTTTGTTCACAACAATATAGAAGTTATGTGCAAAAAGGACATATTGGAATTCATTCCACATGCACAGCACAGACCAATTGCTATCAAATGTCACAGCACCCATAATTCCAACCAATACCAATGCACAGATGCTTCAATTTTAAGAAAGCAGACTGAAGATGCTTTTCTTAAGACCTGGACAAAAAAGTGACACACATTGAACCAGTCTCAGATAACTACAAGCTCTTCGTGAATGCACTACGCAAAACCTCCAAGTGGTATATACTTCAAGGTTGCAGAACTGAGTATTTACCAGGGTTTACTCTTTACTCCCATACTAGCAGCCAAATACAAAAAATTCCAGCAAATATTTCAAAGAGATCCATTCTCAAATGACACTATTATGGCAGGGGCAGCACTACCTAACAAGCTCCTGGAAGAAAGGTGACAAAAATGGAAAGAATCGATTGAAGGAATAGATATGACCCACACTAGCAGGAAAGTATGATTAACCATTCACAAGATAAGTAACTACTCAAAAGAAGTACAGCAATACCACAATGTCACAGCAAACCGGGTGACTCACCAGCCTGTGTTCAACAATAAAGCTTTGAACAAACAGCCTAAAATACAGATTAGACAGCAAACTGATCTGGAAGAAAATAATTTTAGCACACCATACATGTAGGATGAACTTGATCCTGGAATAAGTAAACTGAAGAATAGCAAAGCAGCTGGGCTTGACTACATATGCACAGAAAAGATCAAGCACTTCAGCCCTGAAACCAAGTTATGGATAATTATGCCTTTTTAATAATTGCTCATCAACCCTTAGAATACCCAAACTATGGCAACAATGCCATGTAATAGCTCTATAAAAGACAGGAAAGGATGCCTGTGGCTCAGAGAACTTTAGGCTAGTGTCACTTCTGTGCCATCTTTATAAGCTTTATGAACTCCTTATTCCCAAGCACCTTTCACCTCATATCAAACAACATCTCATACCAGAGGAAGTCAGATTTAGACCAGGCAAGTCCTGCATTGGCCAAATACTAAACATCACCCAGCATATAGAAGATGGATTCAAGAAAGGGTTGATAACAGGTGCTGTTTATAGACCTATCAGTGGTCTATGACACAGTCAGCCACCAAAACCTGCTTGCCAAAATCCACAGTATGACTTGTGACTACCACCTACCATGCAGCTCATCCAATCCCTTTTGGAGAAGAGACATTTTTGCATAGAACAGTGCAAGAAATGGGG